GAACCGCGGTCCCTGTGCTTTGCTAAGCTTGTTCTAAGTAGGTGCTTTAGACCACTGAGCCATCTCACCAGCCCCTTATTGCTTATTTAGCAATCAGTGAGCTTATTCTGATTTTCATCTTTTGTTTTCCACACGTCCCATTTTCTTTTTTTTCTTGTAACTTTTAATTTTTAATTTTTTGTCTTTTTCAGACAAGGTCTCATTATGCAGTTCAGGCTGGCCTTGAGCTCGCTTTGTAACTGAGGCTGCTCTCGAACTTGCAACAATTTGCCTCAACCTCCCAAGTACTGGGATTACAAGGGTGCATCACCATGCCTAGCCCGTAATTTTTAGAGGCAAAGGGCTGGGGATATAGCTCAGCAGCATAAACACCTACCTGGTAAGCACAAGGACCTAAGTTTGATCCCTGATTTAAAAAAAAAAAAAAATTGAGGCAAAGACTCATTACATAACCCATGCAGGCCTTCAACATGTGGCAATCCTACCTCAGCCTCTGAGTGCTGGGATTACAAGATTTTTCTTTCTGGTAGTGGTTTTAGATTAATCTCTTTTGCTGGGATTTTTCTTTTTCACTCAAATTCTTATTCCAGTAGTTTACTGTGGTCTTTCTTTTTTCTACTTACAGGTAATCTGACATTTCTTATTTTCTGTAGATAAAGGGAGACTCAGATTTAGGCAGCTGCCATTGTCCACATCTATCTGGTAGTCCAGTAAATGTTTCTTGAATGACGTGTTAGAGATGCCAGTTATTGTCTCCTGCTGAGGTCTTGTGTTGTCATTCATACCCTCAACTGGAGGAGTGGCCTCAGGTGATCACGCCTGTAACCACTGTAAGGGACTTTTGTACCAAGTGACTGTACCCTCTTGCCCACACATGATCATACCAGGGTGGATACCAGGCCTCACCTCTGTCAAACATCTTACACCTTTTGAGGATTCAAACTAAAGGGCCCAGAGATGAATAAGACAGACAGCACAGGACACTAGAGCTATTAAGTCTTGTACAGTCCAGCCCTCAGGTCACAAAACTCAAGGTATGGAGAGGCAGAACCCAGGAAGGACACAGAGGCAGGACACATGTGAAGAGCTGCGTCCCTTTGGGGGGTTGAGAGAATGAGGTAGGATGCTGGAGCGCCAGACTCCAGGATCAGCAGAGCTGCCCACAGCGCTCCAGGGGTTCCAGGCCAGCGTGACTAACTGCTGACCCTGTGTAGTGTGTCTTTTATCATTTCAACATATATTTTAAATTTCCTTTTTTGTTTTGAACTCTTTGTGCGTGTGTGTGTGTGTGTGTGTGTGTGTGTGTTTCTGTTTCTTACAACTGACTATTCCCTAAGACCAGTTAATTGCTTACTTCCTAAGTGGTTGGCTTTGATACATGTGTACTGTCTTGACATTACTACTTCAACACAACATAATGTGGGATATTGTAAACCCACAATATAAATGGTGTGAATCACAGCGCTGGCTTGAGATGTTTGGCAGTATCAAATCATTGATTCTGTGAGTAGAAGGTTGGACATGGGGGGAATGTACGCAGAATATCTAGCTCAGTTTCTGGAATTTTAGGAGACACTGGCCAAGGGAAACTGGTGTTGTATTAGGGGCCCCAATGGAATTATACTGTGGCCTGACCCCCAGCCTAGTTTTCTTTTGACTCCTCATATGGGTTTGGATGCTGTAGGTTCCCTCCTGCCCAGCTCTGCCCCCTGGGAGCCTTAGAATGCGACTGCCTTCGGATTAACCTTGTTGCAGATGTACTCAAGTGAGGATGAAACCATGCTCCATTAGGTGGGTCTGCATCCAATCCCTTGGTGTCCTCTGTTGAAAAATTACACACAGATGTACTCTTCATAATTGAAGAAAACAGATTTTTCAGTTGGGTACATCAGTCCTTTTAATTCTTCAGTGGGCCTAGCTGTACTGTTGTGGGATGTAGGAGGAAACAGTACTGTTTGTCTTGGTGTTTGTCTTTGAGATAAATGTCATTAGAAGAGGTTGGCTTTTTTTTCTTCTTCATTTCAGTATAACCAGAGGTGACAGTCACATAAAGTGTGTGTGTGAGTGTACTTGTATCTTATGAGCTTGCTTTTTTTCTCCCCTCCCTTCCTTCTTCCCTACTTGCATCCCTCCCTTCAGTTGTAGCGCTGAGGTTTGAACCTAGGGCCTTGTGCACGGTAAGCAAAACTCTGTCACTGGACTGGACACCCAGCCCCTTGTGGGTTTTCTGATATATATAATCTGCTCTTGTTTTCAGGTTGCTGAAGCTAAAGGAAATGTTTAAGTCTAAGTTTGGATCCATCCCCAAGTTTTATGTTCGAGCACCAGGAAGAGTCAACATCATAGGTATTTCAATAGTTTCTTCTATATCTCATCTCTTTAGTAAGGATACCTTTGTTAGGATATTTCCTTCTTAAGTTTTCACTTGTACAAAATATTTCATGTTGTTATGGGTAGTGTCTAGTTGTTCCCCCAAAGCCTTATGTAGGTTATGTGGTAGACCCAGCTGGAGGAGCAGTGAGTGAGCGGGCGGGCCTGAGGACCAGCACAGGGCCCGAGGGGCGGGGCCAGTGAGGAACCATTAAACTGGCTAGCCTGTGCTTTCTCAGAGATATGGAGAGGATCATCCTGGACATGGCAGTGCCCCACCCTCTCCTCAGGTATCTTGAAAGCTCTAGTAACTGTGAGCTAAATAAACCTTTCCTTCTCTCATTTTGAGTGTCGGGTATTTGTCCCAGCAATGAGAGAAGAGTAAGACAGAATTTGGTACCAGAAAAGTGGGGTCGTTGCTGTGGTTCAACCTAACCATGTGGATTACAAGCTTTTGGGAATGGCTTATCAGAAGAGATAAGAAAGGTTTGGCGATGTCACCCACAAGAGAAGCGCTGGACCAGCTTCAGTTGTTCTGTAGGGGAGATTCTGGTTAGAGCTCAGACCAGAAGACTGATAGAAATCCTGCTTGTGAAGACCAGGCCGGGGAGGTTGCTGCTGGGAAGAAGGACTGCATTGGTTGTTGGACTCCAGATCATTTGTATTTTGACTTGATGGAAAGTTTGTTTGAATTTTGCCCATGTCCACAGACTTTGCCTGAAACTGAAATTAAACATGGAGGACTGATTAATCTTTCAAAGGAAATCTCAAAGCAGTCAAATATTGGGGCAGTAGCATGATTATTGTTGGGGGTTCTTAATCAAATATAGGTTGAGAATGAAGAGCAAAGAGCCCAGCAGAATGATTTAAAATGTTGTAAGTTTGACCAGAAAGGAAGCTCCAATAAAGCTTGGAATACAAAGCTAGAGCTGAGATCTCCACTGCCCAGGAGGAACAGGAGAGTACAGAAGATGTCCTGAGGGCATCACGGGAGGTGGCAGGTTCTCGCCCTGTGCAGAATCGCATGAGTGAGGGACTTTGCTTTAGGGAGAAAGCCGCAGAGCCCCATCTTCTAGAATGGAGGCAGGGCCACACCAGGTTCCAGAATGGAGGCGGTGGCCACACCAGATTACAGAATGGCACCAGCATAGAGAATTTGTTCCTCAGAATCAGGGTCAGAGTGCTCAGCGATCCAGGCCCTTGACCCCTGCAGCCAAGAGAGAGGAAAGCCTGGCTACTGCTCCGGCTGGCAGCAGTCCCTGGCATCATCCACGTGGTCCTGGTTTTAGGCACATGCAGAACGCAGGAATTCTGAGGTTAAGAAGGCTTCCATCTAGATTTCAGAAGAAGGCCTGGGAGGCCAGGCAGTGTACCCCTGAGAGTGAAATTAAACATGGAGGACTGATTAATCTTTCAAAGTGTGTGAAGTGTGTGAAGCTGTGAGTGAGGAGCCTGTTCAGTGGAAGCCTCAGAAATTTGGAAAAGCCAGGAATGTGGATTATCTAAGGGAAACTGCAAAGGTGGAGCAAAGCCAGCCTAAGAGAGAAGCCATGGGAGCTACAACCGCCAGAAGTGCCGTACGCGTGGAGCCACGTGGCGCTCAGAGTTTGCCACAGATTGCTTCTGATGTTCCACATAGAACTATAGACTTAATGTTTGCCCTGCTGGATTCTGGTCTTGTTTTGGCCCAATGGTTTGTGTCCTTCTTTGTACACCTTTTGGAATGACAATGTCTATCTTGTGCCTTTGAATGTTGGATGTATTTAACTTTTCATTTGTACAGGGGCTCACAGTTGAGAGTTTGCCTCGGATCTTGGAGGAGACTTGGGACTTGGGCTTTGCAGCAATGCTGAAACTGTTGGACAAAGGGATGTGCATGAGACTTTGAGGGTCCAGGGGTGGAATGTTATGGTTTGTGTCTAGTTGTCCCCACAAAGCCTTATGTAGGTCATGGGGCAGACGCAGCTGGAAGAACAGCGAGTGGC